ATCTTTATGGCCTTTAAACTCCTCTCTATTCCTCGTTGGAGAATCTCTGCCTTTTCTTTTTCATTCACTGCTGCCAGTGGGAAATTGCTGGCTCTGAGTCACCATCGAGTCCATGCTGACTCATAGTGACCCCTGTGGGTTTCCAAGACTGTACTGTTGATGGGAGTAGAAAGCCCAGTCTTTCTCCCTCCAAGCTGCTAGAGGCTACAAACTGCCCAGGATCGTAGCCCAATGCGTAACCTCTACACCACCAGGGCTCCGCCCTACTTAAAATATCAATGGCTTCTTTTGTGCCACACATTATCTTAACATTTCCTGAGGTAACCTCCACTATATAGGTATTACTATTCCCATCTAAGGTACTTGCCAAATATTACTTGTTAATATTTGCTCTTGATACCCTGCAGGGTCTGCAGTAAGCATGGTCTCGATAGTTTATAACAGAGATCTAATTATAAGAGGGGTAGTCTTGATAGTCTACAATAGGAGTATAATTATTGGCTTAGGGCTGTCTTCAATCCTCCCGGATCCCTAAAGACAAGCAGCAGCCAGGATGGCTGACTAGCCGTCAGTAAATGCGCTTCCCTTTTCAGGAATCCCTGCGTGAAAGAAAAACGTGTGTGATCTAGAAACAGAATCCAGCTTCTGAGTGATGGTGTGTCCCTGGCATCAGATGACTTGAGAGTGTGCCAACGGCAATAAGTGCAGAAGGGACAGGCCATTGGAAAGAGAGGTGGCTAATTAGAAGGTCCTTTTGTGCCAGTTGAAGGAAAGAATAGCGGGCCTTTGGGTAAGGCTCCTGTCATTTTAAGGCCTGAGGACACTGAACCAGTAAGACAAGTGTCTGATTGAGTCAGAGTTCCGGTAGGGATGGGGTGGGGGTGGGGGTTCTGCTATGAAGTGGTAGTGGAGCTGGGATTGCCAGCCCAGGTACACAGGTCTCCTCCTCTTCCGAGAAGCGGCACTGAACGTATTTGCATAGTCAATGCCCGACCCAGCGCTAGCACTGACAGTCTTCTCTCTGCCATACCCCTGTGCTGCCCTGTCCACCTTTGTCCTCCCATCAGACATTCACTCATTCATCCAGTCACCTCTTGAACTTCGAGGTGCCAGACACACAGCATGAGAGTGGGGGATGGGACCCTCATAGAACGAGGCCTTAGGGGACTCACCTTCCCCCAAACCGGGCCACACTAAAACTTAAGTCTTACATGCAAGCATGTAGAGTGTGCTCTGTTCTGTCAGCTTTCCTAGGCAATGATACCAACTTACTTATCGAACAGGCGTCTAGATATTTCTATAGAGGTGTCTCGTAGATGCGGGGAGCCCCTAGAGTTAAGGAAGGAGATTCTCCTCCAAGATGTGGGTGGGACCCATCCGACCCATTGAAAGCCTGAAGAGTAAACGGCAGGTTTCCCTAAGGAAGTCCCTGTGGACGGCACTATCAGTTCCCATCGACCCTCCAGAGGTCAGATTTGCCCGGCTAGATCCTAGGACTGCCTCCGTAAGTGACAGATATAGAGACAGAGAAATCTGTGTGTCTAAGGAGGTCTGGGGACATCACGGTGAAGCTGCTGACTGAAGGGGCCGTCATCTACAGCCCCAGCTGCGCTGCAGTTGGAGAGACGAGGCATCTGCTTCCATGAAGGCTCCGTGCCTCTGCCCTCCAGCCCATTCCTGCTCACAGCAGCCCGAGGGGCAGAGTGGTGCTGTCCCCTTTGGATTTTTGAGGCTGTAAACTTTTATGGGAGTAGACAGCCTCATCTTTCTGCTGTGGAGCCACTCGTGGACTTGAGCCACTGACCTTGTGGTTAGTAGCCCAACTCATAACCATCACCAGGACGCCTCCACAAAGATTACAGATTGGAAATCCCATAAGGCAGTTCTACCCTTGACCTATGAATTAGAATCCACTCAGTGATAATGGGTGATTTCTCTGGTGGAGCCTGATTGATGTGGGTACGGAGGTGTTTTGTGCCTCTTCCTCACCTGATTTTTCCCTTTCTCTTCTTCTCACATAAGCTCGTTCATTCCCTCCTCTTGAACTCTCTCACTTCTTTGCTCCTTCTTTTCCATCTCTAGCTCATTCCTGCTCACAGAAGTCAGACGTGAAGGCTCATACAACTCACAGTGAGCCAGCACCTAGTGAACCTTACCCAGAACTTCCGAGGAGAAGGTTAGGATGGAGCTCCAGTCACTCAAACGATCCCTTTTGGAATGGATTAAGTACTGAGCTGTATCAGCTCGGCCTTGGAAGGTTCAGTGGGCAGTATGACTGTTATCAGCAGCGGCAGTACCATGTACTGATGCTCTGATGGTCATAACAGGATTCGACCTAAGGTCCAGGGACCAAGCTCCCCATCAGTTCAGAAAGCATCCCACAGTGCAACTGAAATGAGGTCTTTGTTTTCCGGATTGCCCCCCCCCCTCTGTGTACCAAGCCCCTGCAACTATATCCTCAGGACAGGGCACTGCCTAGGTGTTTTGGGACATCTCAGCGAGCCTCAGCTTCAGTTTCAGTGATCACATATGTATACACACGCACACAGTGTTGACAAAAACACACTCTACTCTCCTTCCCCCAAACTACTTGTTCTGATCTCCCTTTCTTCTCCACTGACCTCCACACTGGAGTCCTGGTCAGGCTTGGCCGCTGAACTAGCCTAAAGCACAGTGGTCGGAACCCACCAGCTAGGCCCCGGGAGAAAGATGGGGTAAAAACGCACAGCGTTGGAAACCCCATGGGACAATTCTCTTCTGCCCGGCCCGGTTGCTCGGAGTTGGAATTGCCTTCGTGGCAATGGGCTCGGGTTATCTGTGGGTCTGTCTCCACGCTTACCTCCCATGTAGAGGCACAGAGGTCAATGCCAAATGCTTGCACTGAGAGACGAGACTATAGCTCCTCCGTCCATTGTTCCCCCGGCTCCCCAAGACCCTGTTTCTACTTCCTGTACACCGTGTCCCTCACGAATTCCTCCCAACGCCCACGTCGGTGTTAACAACTTACTCAGTTGCTGTAAATCCAGCTCCAAGTGAGAGAGTCTCTTTATCACCGCCTCGTCCCACACAGCCAACGGCCCGGGAAGATCCTTCTGGAGCCCACCCAGAATCCAGCTTTGTAAGGATCCCTTGGTATAAAATGCCAGGAGGATATTGACGGCAATGATCAGAGCCAGCCCAAGGCAGAGGGCTTTGGGGAAGTTTCTCCGAAGCATCATCTTCCGCCTGCGCTTCTCTCCAGTCCCTGCGGGGCTGAGCGTGTCACTGGCCAGGCAGGCGGAGACGCGGGATCTAGTGAGCTTTGCCTCTGACCGGCATGGATGACACCCTGTCTGCTGAGCCAGATGTTCTCCGACTGGGAAAGCCGTTCGTCACAAGCTGCCAGCTTCTCCTGGAGCAGCGTCAGGTGTGTGCAGTGTGCCAGGGCAGCCGCCCAGGGATAACTAGGTCACCTGGGCACACCTTGCCAGGCCTTGGCAATCAGGGGAGTGCTCCCTCCTAGGGATAGTTCAGGCTGCCTGGTGGAGAGGCTCCTCACTCCCTGTGTTCTGCATTGGATTTGCCTCTGCAGCAGAGCAGGGGAGGTCTGCTTCTGTGGCTACCGAGGGGATACACAGAGTGAGAAAGGGACTCACAGGGCTGGAAGCTTCTGTCCTGAATGTGTGCCTTTTGAGAGCAGGCACTGTGGTGTTGATGGCTTCTCTCCTAGCTCTCTGGAACTTTGAGTATACGTGGTGGGCACTGTTCCACTAACGTGGAATGGGGGGTTGGTTTCCCCACTGGTTTCCGGGGCCCACCTACGTGGAGACAATTACAACTGAGCTCAAGGCAGCCCCTGGGGTGAGCCTCAGGAGATGGACTTGCCCCACAGATCTCTATGGTCTGTTTGCTTTATATAACGTCGCACACGGGGGCTGCACCATCCCCAGTGCTCAGTAATTCTTCTGCTGTCCCATGTGGAAAAGTGCTTCCTGTATCTTTCAGACGAACGTATGCTCATCCTTGTACAGCGAACCAGGACAATGGTTCTCCAGAGACAGATGCTCAACCTTCTAAGTCAATTGTGTTGGGTCTTTTTCATGGTCCTGTCTCTGACATTGGCAGAGCAGGCAGGAAAGAAAAGAGCAAAGTGCACGGTCCTTTTGTTTTTCACCCACAGAAAGTTTTTGCCCCACTACTTCACTGACTAGAGAATTGATCATTGTTGGCTAGGGCGAAGGGGAGAGACGATGTATTTGCAAACCTCCCTCTTATCATATGCTGCCTTCCCCTTCGCCCTTCTCTCATCTATATAGGAAGACACTGGGAGGTTTGAAAACGTCAAAGACAACATGTAAATACTATTTTATACACAATCCTGTAATAGTGGTGATCCACCAACAGATGCTTGGGAGCAGCATGCAGGCTGCACCAATATTCAGAAAATGGGGGCATGCCCACAAACATAGAAAACTTGATAGAAGATATTTGTATATGTCCACTTACCTGGGCTGCAAATATCTCCATGAGCATCCTACTTTAGTAAGTAGCAACTGAGGTCTTCATGCTCACGGGCAGCCATCTAAGGTATAAATATTTCTCACCATTCAGAGGGGGAAAGTGAGGGGAAAATAAAGACTGATAGATGGAAACATTTAGTCCAATAGACTAATGGAACCGCACAAACAACAGCTTCCAGGACCCTGAGCCCCAAAGAGCCAGACGGTCCCCAACCACGACTACTGAGTCCTCTGACAAGAAGCACCTTGGATGGTCCCGGGCAGTGTGGGAGGGAAATGTGCAACAAACCCCGAATCTCAGAGTGCTTTGTTACTGTTAGGCTCTGACTCACAGCGGCCCTCTATGCACAACACAATGAATCATGGGAGAGACCAGGCTTAATGGTTGGCTAGGGGCCTCAAGACTGTGGCCCCTAGTCTGGAATTAACCTCACCCCATATTAGAATCACTAATCACTTGGGATCAAAAGGGCAGCATTTACTCAAGGTTAAAGCTCAAAGTGAGGACCCATCAGGCAAGATAAGCAAATATCTTTCTGGGAACATTAGATGCCAATTCCCACATCTAGACACTGTTAAGAGCCTTGTCGTGGTTGGAGAACATCAAAGGTCATGCAAATTACTTGGAGGAGGAATGGAAGCAGGAAACACAAGGAGGGAGTGGGCTATGTGACGGGGCATCGACGGGGCTGCAAAGCAGGAGTTGAAACAAAGTGGATATGAACGTAAAACTGGTGGTCTCCTCGAACACCCCTGCCTGATTCGCCATACAACGTTTCTGACAACGTTTCCCACCAAAGTGAAGCTCAGAAAGCAGACAGGGACAGGGAAGAATGACAAATGGAGATCAGGAACTCAGGGAGGAAGCAGGAAGCGTGCTGCTATATTGAGGGAATGGCAAATCATGTTATGAAACAAGTTATATAATGGTGCACATAAATTGCTTAATGGAAAGCTCATTTACTCTGTAATGTTTAATCCAAAGCACAATAAAAACGAAGAGGGATGCGGTTTCCCATCCCTTCTGCAAAGACACTAAAGAAATAAAATCTGAGTGATTCCCTCCACTTCTGGAACCAAATGAAGAAGACATATCTGTGTCCATTCCTCCCACTCGTGGCAGCTAAAACTCTGGACTTCATGTCTCAAATGAACAAAACAAGGCTGTGGAGAGTGAAAAGAAGGAGGAGGATCAAGCGACGGGAGGACCCCTGGCGTGGGTTCCCTGAGCTCTCCCTTGGCCTCACATAGCCTAGACAAGTGCTGGACAAGCTGGCAACTTAAAAACATCAGTGGGCACAAATAACTCATCCCCTAAGCGAAACCTGCTCTCTTGGGCCACAAAAACCATGTACCAAGGGAGAAAATGTTTCAACAGGACTGAAAACACCCCATGCCCATCAGCAAAGGTCAAGTTTGTGTGTGTGATAAAATGACTCAGTACTATACACACACAACACCAAAGTCAATGTCTCAGTTCTGCTATTGCATTGTCATTCAGTATAACCATTTTGGAAAACTGGTGGAGTGCTCACAGAACTTTACCCAGCATCATGTCCTTCTCCAAGGACCAGTCTCTCCTGACAGCATGTCCAACGTATGTGTACAAAGCCTTCTGATTGTGCTTCTTCGAAGACAGAATGGTTTGTCCCTTTGGCAGTCCATGGTACTTTCAATAGTCTTTGCCAGCACCACGATTCAAATGCATCAGTTCCTCCTCAGCCCTTCCTTATTCAATGTCGAACTTTCACACACACACACACACGAGGCCATTGAGACCACCGTGGGTTGGGTCAGGCGCCCTTTAGTCCTCAGAGTCGCTACCTTGCTTTGCAGTACTTTAAAGAGGGCTTGTGCGGCAGATTTAGTCAATGTCATGTGTCCTGCAATCTGGTGACTGCTTCTCTTATGAGTACGGATTTCAGATCCAAGCAAGAGGAAATTCTAGACAACTTCAATCTTTTCTCCACTTATTATGATGTGACCTATTGATCCAGTTGTGAGGTTTAAGGTTGTCTTGACATTGTGCTGTGATCCACACTGAAGGCTGCAATCCTTGGTCTTCATCAGCAAATGCTTCAAGTCCTCCCTTTGAGTAAGCAAGGTTGTGTCATCTGCATATTGAAGGTTGCTAATAAGCCTTCCTCCCATCCTGTTACCTCATTCTTCATATAATCCAGCTTCTCTGATTATTTGTTCAGTACTGAGTTAGTTAATTGTGCCAGCCTGGCCAATAATCACATGTGGGCTGGTTGAAAGGTGGAGGGATAAATGGGTGGTGAAGCCTCGCCTTTCTAGTTCTTGGGTCTCTTGTTTTGTGATGGTTGCACCGGGTGCAGCTGCCTTAGCAGTTCCCTGCTTCAGCTTGCAAGATTAACTTCCTACAAGACATCCCCAAGGAGAAGCTACATGGACCTATCCCGATGCAGCCCTGGGTGCTGGAGCAGCCGTGTGGAGACCCCTGCTAGTGCTGAGATGCTTGTTCGTTCACTGACTCAGCTTTCCTCCTGCAGTCGGCATCATTGACTCTGTTTTGTGAGGTGGAGGACTTTGTGGACTGGTGTTGGGTTAATGTTGGACTTGTGGGCTTGGGCAGCATTGGGTTGGGATGTTTTCGTGATGCACCTTTTCTTTACATAAAACTCTCTTACACATGAGTCTCTGTGGATTTGTTTCTCCAAAGTACCTAGACTAATACAAGTATACAGATTGAAAAAGCATGCTGAAAGGATACAACCCTGATGCACACCTTTCCTGTTTTTAAACCATGCGCTAATCCTTGGTTCTAGTCACACAAATGCCTCTTGATCCACTCACAGGTTCCGCAGGAGCACAGTGAAGTGTTCTGGAAGGCCCATTCTTCCTAGACTATTCATACTTGGTTACGGTCCACAGAGTTGAATGCCTAGGTATAGCCAATAAAACACAAGCAAACATCTTTCTGATATTTTCTGCTTTCAGCCAAGATCCATCCATGGACACCAGCAGTGATAGCCTTGTCCCTTGTCCTTTCCTGAATCTGGCCTGAACCGCTGGCAGCTCCTTGTCAACGTACTGCTGCAACCACTGTTGGATGATCTTCCGCAAAATTTTAATAGCATGTGACATGAATGATACTGTTCTACAACTTGAGCCCTTTATGAGATGGGCACATAAAAGCCTCTCTTTAGCATGGGCACAAAAATGGATCTCTTCTAATCAGTTGACCAAGTATACTGTTTTCTGCTAAGTTTCCAGGAAATGTGGACAAGTAAGTACTTGCTTTCAGTGCTTCATCGCGTTGTTGAAATATTTCCATTGGCACTCCATCAAGTCCCGGAGCCTTGTTTTAGCTAATGATTTCAGCGCACCTGAACATCTTCCTTCAGCACCACTGGCTCTTGCTCATATGCCGCCTCCTGAAACGGTGGGATGTTGACGAGCTCTATCTTGGTGCAATGACTCTGTCTTCTTCCCATCTTCTTTGGGGACTTCCTGCCTCGTTCAGTATCTTGACCACAGAATCTTGCAAAAGTGCAACTGGAGGCTTGCATTTTTTTCCCTGGAGTTCTTTCTGTTTAAGAGATGCTGCGCTCGTGCTTCCTTTCTGGTTTTCTAACTCTAGGTCTTTGCACACTTTTTATAAGATTTTGCTTTGTCTTCTTCAACTGCCCTTTGAAATGTTCTGCACAACTCTTTGACGTCACTATTTCTTCGATTTGCCTTAGCTACTCTAAAAT